CACCCCGCTACCCAGCGAACCCGTCCCCTGCGGCGCAGGCCCGGCTCACCGTGCATGCCGGCGAAGTGCGCCTCGCCGAGGACAGCGGCTATCCAGAGCTCCTGGGAATCCACGTCTGCGCCCACCAGGGAGTAGCCGGGCGGCACCTGCACCATGGCTTTCAGCTCGCTGCCCACCCGGTCGGCCTGCGGGACACGATGCCCAACTCAGCGCAAGCCCCGCACCTCCCTCTCATCCTCAGCGGCACAGAAGCAGCCTTCCTCCCGCAGCTGTGGTGTGCCGGCACGGTGCTCCCTGTGCCCCTAAATTTTGCTCTGAAAGTCAAAACCGGGTTTAACACACACGTGGGGCATCGCCCACTTGGTTACTCCCCCTAGGCTCTTCCACCGCGGAAGAAAGGGAGCTTGGGGAAGGAGAGAAACCAGTGCTTCAGCGTTTTCTTCTCCTTTGACCAAATTTTGAAGCTCAGGAGCCTCTGCTGACTCCTTCCCCTCTCCCAAAGTCAAAGCACGTCAGCAAAGGAAGGGCCCCAGCACCAGCCCTGCCACCTCAAACCCCAGTGCCCAGCCCCAACTCCTATTTCCAACCCAGGCTGCTCCCACCAGTCCAGAACACACAGAGGATGCCCCAAAACACCCCCGCAAGGACCCGAGCGGAGCCGTACCCGGGCATTGCTGGCCGTCAGCCATGTGGGCTCCACCGCCCGGCGGGTGATGGTGCCTGCGGTCACCACCTGCGGCAGGATGGCTCCGTAATCATCCTCCTCGTTATAGTTGGGGTGCCTGGGACAGAGGTGAGGGTGAGCATCATCCTGCGAGAGCCCTCCCGGAGCGGCGTAGAAGGGATTGTGGTCGCAGCTGGGCCCGTTCTTCCCCGTACCTGGTCACCACGCGAGGCAGCTCCCCTTTCTTCAGCCACACCACCATCTGGGAACTGGGGGGACACGCGGCAGGCGAGATGCTGAGCCCCCCGCATCTGCACGACCTCCCCTGGCTGTGACGCAGCCTCCGTCCATCCGCGGGGATGTCGTGATTCAGCTGAAGGTGGCCACTCACCTGATCCGCTTGTGAGCGTTCCTCCAAAACGAGATCATTTTGTTAATCTCGAGGGCTCTGGTCCCATGGGTGCGGCCCACGGCAGCCCGCAGGGTGCCGTCCTCCATCTGGGGCAAGAAATCCTTGGCAAAAGGGCTTCCCACGTTGTTAGCGTTCCCGTCCTGTAGCAGCAAAAGAGATGCCAAGGCTCAGTGTGCCACCGCTCAGCATCAGTAAAGCTCTGTGCATCCTCCTGCCCCACCTAGAGAGATGCCTTTCCACCACCCTATCCCATGGGACGAGATCACAGGGGTCCCAGGAGTGCTGCAGCACCGGGGTGACAGGCAAGGTGACACGGCTGTGCAGCAGGACGAGGGGAACTGGGACGCGGGGAAGCCCCCAGGAAGAGCCCCAGGAGCACCCAACTTGCCTTGTGAGGCAGCTTGAAGAACCAGCACCCGGGAATGTTGACATCGTTGTAGGGCCCATTGCCGTGGTGGTACGAGGGCTGGCTCCTTGCCTCCGCCAGCTCGCACAGCTCATCCATCTCCTCCTGCGACCAGTGGTGCGAGGCGATGCCAGGACCCCCTCCGGCATGGGGGGGGG